TCTATCTATCTATCTATCTATCTATCTATCTATCTATCTATCTATCTATCTATCTATCTATCTATCTATCTATCTATCTATCTATCATCATCATCTTTCTCCAAACTCCTCTTTCCTAACCAGGAAAGGTGCCTCCATCTTTGAAATGGGCACCATTCTGGAAAGGGACAAATTTTCAGTTAACCTTGCCAGAGTGGGCTGGGAGGAGTGGGGGAGTGTTCATATTTTTGAATGCTCTTCTTTGGGGACAAGAATTTCCAGTTGCAGAAGTCAAACGGGCTGCATTGCCTACATTTCTATGCACTCTGCCCAGATTCTGCATCAAGTTATCCAGGTAGCAGGGCAAAGATCTACCCACCTCAGAAGGCAAAATCCTGCCCTTCGATAAGAGGTACAGTAGAAAGCCCTTAAAAGAACGTGGCATGTCCAGGTTATTTTCTATGTTTTCTATATTTTCTATATAATATATGATTATATATAATAATATATTTTCTATGTGAATATAAATTTATATATATATTATATATATATATATAACATAATATGTGTGTATATACATTATATATATGTGTGTGTGTTTTCTATATATATATATAGAGAGAGAGAGACACACACACACACACACACACACAATTGTCTTTAAAAGCGAGGAAAAAGGGAGAAAGGAAGAGTCGTTTTTAAAAAGCTGCGTGTTTTTTTTTTTAAAAAAACGATTGTCATTTGTGACGTGCATGAGGAAAAAAAGAGTAACGTGAACCCCTCTGGAGATTTTATCGATCCTCAATTTAAATATGACACTGATGAATTATTATTTTCTAAGCGATTTCTGCCAGTTTTGTTTAGGTAGAAAAAACTGACGTTTGGTGTGCAGCCAGCTACCTATATCCCCCTAGCGCACACTCGTACATCAGTGCACACTCACACGCACGGTTGCACAGTTCTTCTTGCGTCCTTCCTTTAAGCCCACACACACAGAGAGAGAGAGAGAGTCATAGGCAGTTCCGCATCGATCTGATCTGGATATCAAACTCGGGGCATTCCGAATTCTGCGCTCCCCGTTTCTTTCTTTGGGCTCCTGGAAAATAAAAGTTTCCCCTAATTTGAGAGGCGGACTCAAAAGTCTAAAACCCGGGTAGCCCCTCTCAGACGACGACGCCACCGCCTCTGCCAGCACCTTAGTCCTACTCTTCTCTTCCAAGAAAAGCGCTGAAGGTCGAGCGAAGGGCTCTCAACAGCTCCCAACCTGGTCTAGTTGCCCACTCCAGGTCTCGGGGGAGGGAGGTCCGTGGGAGCAACCACGACTTCACCCTCAACCCACGGAGGAGGGGGGGGGCTGGCTCCCAGAATTCCTGAGCAGCCGCTGGATTCAGGCTTGGAAACCGTGGGAGGAGAAGGCGGAACCGGAGCAAGCAAGCTCTGGAGTTAAAGACACCCATGGTTTCCAGGGACTCAAGAGATCCACTCGCCCCTCTCCGCTCTGACCCGCCGTGGCCACCCCTGGGGCGCATTCCTTCGGTCCCGGTTGCTCCATTATCTCAATAAACACCGTCAAGTTCGGATTAAAACCAAAAAACAAAATCCACTCCTCCACACTCCCGCCCCCTCACTCTTCCGAGGGACCGCTGAAGCCGCTTTCTCCTCCCCTGCAAGGCCCCGCGGTTGTAAACCGAAAGCATCGCGGGGTTGATAAGAAGAAGAGGGAGCCGATCGGTCCCAAAACCGGTGACTATTTTCCCCGCCTGGGGACGCCTTTCTCCCCTAGTCCTCCTACTCCCCGCAGCCGAAAGCAACCGAGTTGAAGAAAAAGGGGACGGTGTGGAAATCCAATGGGCGGACGTCCAGCGAAAAACAGGCGGCGAGGAGGAGGCTGGAGGCTTGTGGCCGGGCTTGTGGTGGCCTATTCTTTATGGGTCCTGCTTTCGGTGGGTGAGGGCTGGAATTGCCGGCCTTCCCTTCCACTTCCCATCTCCACTGGCTTTTATGGATATCAACGCGGCGGAGGAAAAGAACGGGGCTCCCCGATGCTTCTCTTGCCATCCCAATGGATTTTTATTTTTTATTTTTTATTTGCTTTTGCTTTTTCCCTTTGGGATGCCCAGAGCAATGAAACTCTATTCGCTGCTCTAAGAGGGACAATGGGAGCAGCGATAGCCGTGGGAGCAGTGGTGAGGATGAGGATGAGGATGAAGGTGCTATTGAAAAAAACGGCAACGACGTCATTTCAGCTGGGCAAAGATATCTCGGTTTCTTACTAAACGGCGTGGCTCAGAGATAATTCTGCACAAGCGATTTATTTAGAGGAAATAATGGGGGTATTGAACTTTACTTCCTGTGGGGCATGTTCTTTCTGTTTAAGCCAAGGATAAAAGGTAGGGAGGTGGAAAGAAAGCAGAAGGCTTTAAAATGTACCCGTTTAATTTAAATGTAAAGTCTTCAGGAGTCTGTACCTGTTTAATCCCTTCCTCTTTCCCTGCCCTTAAAAACTCTCTTCCTTGTTGTGAAGGATTTTGTCAGATGTTATGACTTGAGATGCCAGGTTTTTTAGTGCTTTGGTGGCCGGGATAGAAGAACAATAAATTCCGAAGTGCAATTAAACCTCAGGACTAATCCATTTCACTGTGTTGTGGGTGTTTTTCTTGAACATTTCAGGTTAGAAGAGGAGGAGGAGGAGGGTGAAAAAGAAGAAGAAACAGAGGAGCAGGAGAGGAAGAGGATGGCAGCAGCAGCAGCAGGAAATTCCCGAATGCAAGATGAAGTTGAGAGCCATCAAAGGGCAACAGTGTTTTAAATGAGACATAAAAAAAAAACGGTTGGTCCTCTGCGCCATAATCTCAAATCTCTCTCTTTTTTTAAACAAAGAAAATGGTCATACAAATACCTACAACCGATAGATTTCAAAACAGAATGCATTGGAGACAGGAGGGAGCAGGAGCCACATTAAAAAAATAATACATAAATAAATAAATAAAATAAAAGCGCACACCAGACCTCGCCAAATGGAGTGTCTGTAAAAATAAATAAAAATCAGAGGAGACTATCCCCACCTATTTCTCTGTTTTTTTCTTGTAAAAAAAAAAGTCTACCCTCCTCACTCCAGCATTCTCTTTCTTTCTATCATGGCTGGTCAGAATGATGCCCCTGGCCCACAAAGAAGCCAGTTTCCTTGTGGTCTGCTTCAGCCTTACTGCTGCCAAGGACCTTTGCAGCCAGATAGGTGTTAGTTCACATAAAGGGGGGGGGGGAGGGGAGAGAAAGAGAGAGAGAATTTATAAACAAGGGCAAGTTTCAGCCAAAGGCAGAGACAAGGCATGCTAGTAGCCTCACTCTTCAGCGCCAGCCACCGCCCACCCCAATCCCAGGGCTAGGCCTTGTCCTCAGTTAATGGTACCTGCTGCCCTTAGCAGCCTCTATTAGAGAGCTGAGTCAGGAGAACTTTCCCTTGACAAGCTCAACACGGCTGCCTGCCAGCCAGCCAACCACTGCTACCTACGCCTACCTTCCCTTTTTCCAGGAAACGGTTCAGAATGTTCCTTTGAACTTTCCAGGAACTGCAGCATGGCTCAAAAGTGAAGGCGAATGGCAACGGGCAACGAGTGTGGGTGTGGGTGTGCGCGCAAGGAGATGATATAGATGTAGATATAGATATGACTCTTTCATTCGCCGCTCTGCTGTTAAAATGAATTTTTATTGATGGGCAGGCACCCAAAAGCAAGCATACAATGTGTGCAATGAAAGAAGCAGAAACCTTCCGCCAACAATACATATTTGCAGTTGCATGCGCTGTAGAGACCAAAAAACCCCTCCTCCGTCAAATGAAAAACAGCTTATTTTGGGATTATTGCCTTCCCCAGGTTATGCGTGGTCTTTGTACAAATTATTCTTCCTCACGCTCTCTTGCTGTAAAT